AGAACTACGCTCACCTGTACGTCCAGATACACATAAAAGTCCCCGCTATAGCTAGAAAGACAGCCGTAGACAAGACCGCAATATCATAGCAGCGATTAGTTGTTTATACATTGCTAGACAAATGAAGCTTAAACCCTCCAGCTGCTGCTGCTGCTGCTGTCCCACAGCCGAACCGTTAGCGCGAAAGATTGGAATTTAAGTGTTTGTTGATCTGGGCAACGACTATTTGCATCCGTCTAGACCGCGTGTCGTCAGACGCGCGACAGGCGACGGCGGCGCCGTGCTACTGCCGCTGCTGGCAACCTGAAACGACACAATGGCCCCGAGAGTCTGTTGAAGCGTACATGGCTACATGACTGTTCCACGTATTATAACAATATACAGATACCCCCTCCCCCTCCCCCTTCCCCTTCCCCTTCCCCGCTAGCGACAAAGATTATACATCAAATTCAATAACATCCATTTACGGCAATATGCAATGTACGAACGATAGCGGGGCTTGGAGGGTGATGAAGGCCACTAGCATCGACCGTAGCGTTAAATAACCGCATCCGTTTCGATGAGAATTAGAGAGGTCCTTTTGGCAGTATGATTTCTTGCGGCTCCAGCAAACCAGAATGTCAAAGGTCGCGAGAACGGAAAGGTTCCCAAGATATGGATGCTTGAACGCGCACGTAGCAGCACTAATTCGAGTATTATAAAGATCGCGGTTCTTCAAGGAGATGCAAAGGTCAAGCTTGAATTGATCTACGCTATCTGAGAGCCCACCTTAATTAAAATGTAAGCGTACATCATAAATTTCAACTTACAACTGTAATATTAATCGCTGGCTGGAAATTCAACGTTCGATGCGATCCCTCACTAGTGATCTTCAGATTTCAATAAACCAGAATTAACCAAACGTTTGTGAGAAATATTTAGCTATATTTGACAGATGAAGCTTCTTTCGAGCTATAGACAAGGGATCCGCCATGGAAGTGTCGCTGTTGAGAGGATTGCGACGAAAATGTTCTCTCAGTCCAAGATGGCAATGCTTAACCTTTACTGTAGCAATCGATAATTGTCCTGATATTTTAGGCATGTTTATTTTTTTGTTCGTAGCCTCTTCTTAATGTACATATACAACGCTAGCGACAATTTGTACGATCTCGGCCGGCTGCCTAAAGCAGCAAAACGAAGGATGTTCCATATTGAAGCTCTTCATTGTGTCTCCCCATACGACCTACGCTATGATTTTTGCATCGAACTCCAGCCAGAGTTTCCAGATGAATTCGGTATACTGTGCTAACGATTGTCGCACATACCTACCATATTTACCACGATAATGGAGGTAGTCGCATTGAATTTATAAGTATCAACTGATAGCATTTTGACTTCCTTTACGCTTTTGGCAGCGCGTTCTCTTTGCAGAAGCGCTAGCGGCCCGAGCGCAAGCCGAAAAATTTTCGACTGACTTGCTGAAGCTGAATAACATAAGTAAGTATATGTATCACTAGCGTTAAACAGAGTTTAACGCTATATTATTGATCATATTATTTTCTCACATTCTGTTACGAAATCGAGAGGTTGGAAGGCTTCTACAGTCAGCTCAGCTCCCTCGAAATGGCAGCGTAGATCATATCTTATTTGACAAACTATAATCAGGGCATCACATATGCCTCATTACAATGCAAATACGTTTATTGCAGTTCTTCGTACTTCTTTAAAGTTAAATATGGCTTGGCGTTAGAGACGACCAATGCGTCCAATAAGCACTCTATGTCGAGATATTATCATTTTTTTTTCTGCTTTTTCTTCCAAGCTTTTCTTCCTTCATCACTTTGCAAGTACTAGCTTGTTTCGAGCTAAGTCATTAACGGTTTTTCTGGACACTGAAACAACCGAAATTACGCTGAGATAAAACTGGGGACGTACAAATTGAAATCATCGTTTAGTTCCGTTTTCATTTTCGGATCGCGCTTTTCGTACGCACATGAGATAGTGCGTTATCTATCGTGATGATACGAGTGCTGTCGATCGTCGGACCCCTCATCCGTGAAACTCCTCAATTATAGAAGATCTGGCGGCCAATTGACCGTTTTGTCTCGGGCGGTATATCGTACTGACGAATTGCACTGGTACCCATAGAATAGAAGCATTAGCCTATGCCTAAATCGATCCGGCAAGCCACTTTCTCTTTTGTTTAACGTTATTTTAGATCCTTCCGTAGTGGGCGGCACGAACATCTTTCGACTATGCCGACAATGTGCTCTAAGCAGTTCTTTACTGGTAATAATTGCGCCGATCGTCCCAAGAATATATCGCACGTGCTTCGATATGTCCTGGACGCAGTTCGTAAAAAGCTCGTCCTTTTTTTGCTTTTTTTTTCTTTTTCTCCAGTGCCTCAGTTAAAATTTCGCAACATGTGCCTCGAAAAATCACACATTGGTTTGGGAGACACACGTATTTATATATATTTTTACTGTGTAAAATCTTACGGAACCGTTTTGATAAAAAACGATAGCATAACTTTTATGTAATAAGCTTTCCACAACATACAGTTTCGTCACCGAAAAATTGCAGATTGCAATTTGCCGCTGCGTTTCAAGTTTCTCGTCAGGTATCGCCATTAGGTAGACGGCTGGCTCTCAGCACGACACGAACCGAGTGTCCATTCCTAGGCTCGAGCCCGAACACACCTAGGTCATAGCAATAATTAGAAACATAGACAGGCTGCAGTATGCCTACCAGAATTATACAACATCATGAGATTCGACGTACACGAAAAGTAATAAACTACTTATAAGCACGGAAAAACGTTTGGGATTCTATTAGCAATAACTTGTACTCCTCAAGGTTCTAAATTATGCGCAATAACTCTTCGATCACTACACGTGCTGGCCATGCGCGGCCTTGGACCTATTACAAAAATGTTTAACTAATAGCCTTTGGCTTGTACGATACGACCGACACTTCAACGCCATTCGAAATAGTTGATTGCCAACACTGACGAGGATTTAGGCCAGGAGCTGTCCCCATTAATAAACATATGTAGTTAAAAATAGGTGCCTAAAAGGTGTGTCTACGTCGATACCTATGCTAATACTCCGGTTTCGGCTAGATCAATACCTATAGCTCCCATAAAGTTTGGCCTGGACCAGGTCATTCCCAGTTCGAATACGCTTGGCGCATCTGTCTTTTTTCATGTTTCAGGCGAACTAGATTACACAAGCAGACTTTCAGTAACGGCGATCAGAGAAGTCCTACACACATATTGTGCTCTAAACATAAGCCCTAAGATAGTACAGGCCATTGCAGAACTTTGGTAGCAACCCAGTTCCCAGTAAGGACATAGATTATCTAAAATAATGTTTATTCTGGTTAGTTACTAATAGGGATAATTGTTAAGCGCGCGTTGTGCACTAGTCAACATAATAACGATGCTTTGTCGCTACTAGCGGCAATGATCTTTTTGTGGAATCCATATAGATCGTGGCAAAAAAGCCGGACTCTTACGAACGTTGTGATTCAAAGGCTTCTTGAAAGCCAGCTTCGTAGTGATGTGTGCCAATGAGTAATTTCATCAAAGGAAAAAAAAGCTGCGTTTGATGGTTGCCAGAAAACTGTAGCACCCCAGACGGATACCAGCATACGCTCGTACATGCGTATACTACAAACGAGCCAACTCAGAATCCAGAGTTTCTAACCTGCTGGATTCGTTGGCAGTACTGTTACGTGTGATGCTTTGTAACAAACTGTTCATATGATGATTCTGTAGATGGACTAACGCATCGTACCTCTGTAATAATTAGACGCAAAAGTAATGGGCGACTATGATTCTGGTGGAAACATCTCCGTCTTGGGATGAGGTACCTCTCTGCGATGCTTCAAACCGGATAATAACTGAATGGTACAAATATGGCGTAGAAATCTATCGTTGCCGCATTAAGCCATCGCAGACCCGCTATTGCAGCTAACGTTGCCAGTTGCACCGTCAATGTTAAGTCTTCTACAGGAGCAAATTACCGTATAATTGGCTCATTTATTGATCGATTGCACAATGCTTGTCCATACTGCTGATGGTGAGGGGTAAACACGAGGTGCTTGCTTCAAGGTTTGTGTCACTCGGATAAAAATAGTCTTTCTAAAAGACCAGTCAACAACCTAAGAACAATTCGAGATCGATTGCTTGAAGTCCATTTGTTGGCCTCAGAACTAGTGAAGTATTCCGGCATGCCGACGCGGTCATAACTAGACATATCATAGAATAGATGGGGGCTGGGAGCGGAGGTTTGCTGTTAACGAACCACTAGAATGCTGTGGGGGTGCAAACAACCCCTGCAGATGGTGTAGTGTGAATGCGTAACTGCCACTTTTGTCCGGTCGACTGCTATGAACCTCCACCAGCCGCGTATTACAAAATCCTCTAAGGTGGATCGTTTACACGCAAGTACCTAACTTACCTGAAAGGAACGTGGCGAATGATAACCGACGTTTTGGCTTGTGTAATCTAAGCCGAACGTACATCTTAGCAAAAACGTTAATTGTTTGTTCTCCAGGTGGTAGCTAGCGATCAGTCGTATCGACTATCGATTCTTCCCGGTGCTCTTTGTTGAAATACACCATATGGACATACCCACGTTGACATTTTAGCTTATATGTGTACTGTTCGTTTGTCTTACATCGGTCGCTTATATATCGAACACACTATCTAATTTAGAACTAATTCGAATAAATTCAAGTATTTAGTGCTTCTACGTGGTTATGCACGACTGGTTAGTTCTAGTTGAAAAAAGAGCTCAAACGAATCTTTTCTTTATGAACACCATGGCACGCAAGCGTCCTTCTTACCTAGCGTGCGCTGCTCCGCGCCAAAAGATGTTTAACATTCATGGTTTGGCGTAATTGGTGAGGGTAACGATAGCTGCCCTCTCGGTTCGACTGACAATCATAACGGTGAGTGTCCATTGCGCCTTCAGAGCAGAAGTGATCTGTGTGGCGTTGTGCGCGTGCTGCGACCGTTCTTTTTTCTTCGTTAGTTAACGCGTTGCTTCGTTCCGCTGTGGATATCCTTCGTTGTGATGTATATCACTTAGAATTGCAATCACAAACGTCGCTGTTAGTAACGTGTACGTGCCCTCATTGGATAAATAACCATAGTGACATCGACTATCTAGAACCTCATCCACGAATGATATACGGGTGACTATTATCAGGTGTAGTACGCATGCATGACGATATATAACCCTATGTATAATAGAAGATTTGAGGTACAAAGATTTGTTGAAGTTCAGCATTATGTGAGCCAGTGTTTATGACGCAGAGAAAGGTAGAGTTCATCTTGCATGAATTTATCAATGTTAGAAAACTGTTTCAAACAATGATCGTTGTGTACTTTAATGCACCCTGTCTACATCGCAATACACAGAAAACAGCAAATGCCTGAACTGACTATAACCTAATTACTTCCAAGCACCCTTTTTTGAAGCCAAAACAATTTCTGCTGACGAAAAACCTCCGGGCAACGATCAGTTGTTTGTCCCATGACCCTTGTTTTGGTCCACGTACTTCGATCGCGTCATGTCCTTAAGTTCATACGTTTTGCAAATCTTCGGCTAACCTATCATTGGAACAAGCACATGTTTGTCATGAAAAGTTCTTCAACATCTTCTTCAATTTAATCACAAAAAAAATACGCTGTTAGAGGCCAGCTATCGGTGCTGTTATGGCATCCAACGGGGTAGGATAGCATTATTTATAACTTTACTCAAGGTATCAGAAACATTGTCGGGACAAACCTGACCTATGGATAAGTTTCCTGATATTCTGAAAGTTTAGCGACTGGCTTCAATATGGCCAGGGTGATTTTTGGCTTAGTATGACTGACACAGTTAGGCAAAAATCTGTCGTGGACATATGCGAGAAGAAATTGCCCCATACCACCCCACTGGCTGGTACTATGCAGTCGATAACTAGCTTCTTATGTGTAAGACAACAATAATAACAATCAAAATTGGCGTAATTTTTTAGAACAAGTTTAATTATTCAGGGTAAGTTGCGCGAAAACGGGAAGAAACTGTGAGGCTGTACCTGACACTTTAATATCCTAGGTTAATAGTACCTTTACTTATGGATGTGCAATATACGAAGTTTATATCGTTAGATACACAACACAAAGCTAGGAAGGAAACCCAGCTTCACTTACCGACGTGTAACTGGTCAGAACAATAACACGCCCGGGAATCGCAATGGTTCTGCGCTTATATAACTAATTTTACCCAGTCATATTAATATCGGGCTTAGCTTATTAACTATTTACATATACTGTGTGTCAATGGTACATATGTTTCTCTATATCTTGAGAAATAACCACACATGTAGATCCAACGATCCTCGATCGATGATGTCGATCATATACGATTTAATCATCAAAACTGAGATATAGCGAAAAACACCCCAAAGAATTACCAGTTTGCTTATAACATGCTTAAGGTCATCTAGGATGTCGTCTAGGAAAAAAACTGAAACGCAAACTGTTTGCCGTTTCAGATTTTTTTTGTTCCGACCAAAAACCGAATTCACGCTTGTACATTGTTTTTTTTTATTGCAGCTTGTTCTCAAAATATACGAGCTGTGCGGAACGATTTAGCGGTCCTTTTGTTTTTTGTATACTTCTTCAGACAGTCGCCGTACGCATACGTACTTGGGCGAAACTGACCGATGGTGATTGTTTACTACAACTCAGGCCTAGCTCACTGATCGTCCTGAATACGGCAGGACACTCTGTGTTTCTGTCACACGAGCGGTGAGGCATCCGTACGTCGAAACGACCCGAATCCATTGCCAAACATTCGCATACATAGAAATTCTACATAAATCCCGTCGTTTCAATCGTAGCTTGGTTGGGCCTAATAGTACAATTATATTGATAACGTATCGTACGACAGTTTTAGCTCATTAGATACTCAAGTAGTGTCTATAGCATCAGACTGTATAGTAGATGAGCTACGATATATCTCGACTTTATTCTAGAATAAGTAAGACGTTTTCTTATAAAATCTATATGGGGCAAATTACGATACTTTATGATCTGCTAGTTGGGTTTTTTTTGTGCGTATCTCGTATGGGTTCGGTCGAACACTGATAAACATCAAACATAAAAACAATGTCATTCTGATAATACTGGCACAGTGAATATTAATTTTTCTATCGCCGTGATTTCCGAATTTCCTGGCCGCTTACCAATTGTAGCTTGTCAATATATTTTATTTGTGTGTGCGCTCATTGGCAAATCGTTAAAACGTTGTTAATATATTTTGTCGACCGACGGCTAGGGACATATGTATAGCTTTCCATGTAAAGCGCAGAGCTCTTTTCCCTCTCATGTGTTAGCGCGGGGTTGTCATGACTAAATAGTGGCAAGTATATTTTTGAAAAATATACGTAATTGCTGGATCAGAAAGCATCTGGCATCGATTTATAGTTTAGGTCAAAGATTGTTGTTTGTTGACGTACGAGTTGTACAATTATTGTATGAAAGCCTCAGTTACGGTAGACGGGATCGATCCGGGTGACTGTTACATATGATCTTATAAATTTATTTCGGTCTATTGTTTCGGTCAGGACATTTATAAAAGCTGCACGTTTTCGCTATTGTATGCAAATATGTTTATTATATATGAGAAATTGTTCAGCTAAATGTATGTTTATGGCGCCATTATTACGGCTGACGTTGGCTACTGACATTCGGGTAAAGTTCTTATTCACAGGTCTGGGTAACTACGGTGATGTATCGCTAGATGAGCGAAACAGTCGTGTTGTTTAAGCGCAGCCGTTGAAAAAACTTGGAATTTTTTTTTGCATTTCTTCCCAGGCCACAAACTATAACAAGCCTATAATTAGATTAATTGCCATTATATTGGTCAAAATGACTCATAGGATCTATATGTAACAAATCAGCGTCCCTAGTGATCAACCTATTATCAACGAACTTTAGTAACGTTTCGTTGAGTGAAGAGTATTAATTATTTGTAGATCGCAACCTCTAAAACAACCTATCCCTGTACTCAGTCTATGGTCACATATTCTATTAGTCAGCTACACGTCAGTCGATTGGATACAAACTGTTCTACACGGATTACATTGGCCTTTTTTCTATGAGCCTCGTATTTGTGGAAAAAGCTTCCTTTCGATGAGCTGAGGTGTAGTAGAAATGGCAATATAAAGCTGTAGTCTATCTCATCTGGCTCCACGACGCTTACTAAATTATAGCAGTAGCAGTGCTCTTTCTCTGCTGAGTAATTTCAAGCCTATTTCTTCCACCCTATTTTGATGTTAATAAATAGCTATTCGATGGTGTGTCAGGACCGTGCCTATTTAATAACCCCGGGGTGATGGTGTCTGATGGCTTCGTTTATTACGTCGTCAAGTAATTACGATCTTAGCTATTACAACACGACTCCTCTGTATGATCGAGCGGCCTGAACACAGCCCAGCTGTTGCATCCAAGAGACGTTTAAGATCTCAGTTTGAGATCACCGTTGGCAAACTGAATGTTACCAAGAAGCGATGAAGTATCAAGAAATACGTATCGCCTTTGGGAAGTAAAAATACTACCGGATCATAGTGATGATTCTGTGCAGATATTTCTAGCTGGAATAACCCAAGCAACAATTTTTCGAATCAACTCTTTACCTATCTTGAACATGTCTTTTAAAATTACATATAAAGCTTGGATAGAGGGTTGCATGTTTTGTTACCTCAGAACAGTTGAGTTTCACATAACTAACGCCAAACAAATGGGTCTTTCCACGACCGGAGCTTACAGAAACAACAATGTCAACTATTTAATATGCATGTAGCTAAAAATGAACACGTTGTTAGGTGAAGCGGGATGACGCAAAACTAATCTGACACTGATAGAACCACCCTTTCCAATGGCGACTTATGACTCGGATGTCTGTCACAACGCCAGAACAGAACAAAATGCAATAATGCTCCGAATAAAAGCAGGACGCTGATAATATTATGGATTTTCAAATATGAGATGGGTTTAGGTGTTTCAAGTGCATAGAGTTTACACACTTCAGATACAACGATACGTCTACGTTTGTCCCATCTTGCAAAGCGCCTACAGGCACGCTATAGGCAGGTCAGAAGAGACAGACGCAGAGTTCCGTGCAATGAACATTTTTCTTTATATTCATTTATTATTGAACAGCCTTAGTCTCTGATCAATGAAAAAGCCTCCTACAGCACAAATACAGTTGCATATTTACAAGACCACCAAAAATCTGAGTATCCATACTTTTTTTTTTAATCATTTTTCCAGTATGTCAAAACAATGATTATTATACATGTTGATAGATTGTTAGTGAGTTTAGCCAAAAAGTCTTGAAGCGACGACAAGGGTTTAGCCCTGTATCACTGACGTTCTATTGAATCGAAGTAGTTAGCTCAGAAATATATCCTTTTTGCGCACCTCTATTAATGCTGAACGTGCCCAATAGTTCACAAGAGTGTATTTAAAACGCGTCTCATAAAAATGTTGTCTCGCTCAATCATACGATTGCTTGTTAGTTGTGGTGCATCAGGTTCCTGTATAGGTGCAGAGTACCCTCCTTTCTGCGCCCAGCTCGGACGGCTATGGCAAATTTGCACCAGTTAGGCGAACGTCCTTAGATTATGCCCCCTTTATTCTAAGCCTGTGTAATCGGCACACGAACAGTTTGTTGGCCTGGAGCAATAAGCCCAAGGCTGCAATTTAACGCGGCCATCATCAAGAAACCTATGATAAAATCATCTTTGGCTAATGGCAACAAGTCATTCGGAGGGGTTGGTCGCGAACATTTCTCGCATGCTTCTTTTTTCCAGGGGGTTCGCCCCGCATCAACATCTGTGGTCACGACGATAGCTTTAAGAGGTAGGCTCGTTTCTAAAGTAATGGTAGATCGAAGAAGACCACGTAACGAGACTATCAACTTATGCTGTTGCCAAAACCGAAATGAGTGCAGGCGACTCGTGTGGCGGCCTGTTTTTGATTGAACCCGCTCAAGAGTCTTGGGCGAAACGACCAAAAGCGGAAAACAGGAACAATTTCATTTTAGAGCGATCAGAATGATTGTTCAGTGTTGCAACTTTGCACGATGGTTTTTCATTTCCGGGCGGAGTTTGCTTTTCTCAAGTGTTTGATGCGTTTTTATCCATTGGGTCGGATTGCATTTTACGTAGCCTTTCGACGGTTGCTTCTATGAAGGAACAAGCCCGACTCGATTAGCGCCAGTTGGGCCAATTTCTTCAATGTGGGCTAATTGCAAACTGAAATCAAGCCGTGGATTGGAACGAAGGCTGCTCATGATTATGCCGCAGATAATCGTGCTATTCTCACTATTTTTAAACCGAGAACGTAAGACAAAAGCAAAAAGTATCGAAAATTTTAACACCAGTTATTATGTTGCTATTTTTAGCAACGCCTTTGCTATCTGTTATACTACGTCTAACTTCACATAGCAACATAGATAATAACACTGTTGACGAGATAGGAAGAAAAACGTCCAGGCGCCCATATGTTTTTTTTTTATGATCGTTGTGCGAACACTGTGCCGTCATAAAACATCCGCAAGCTAAACAAGGTCTCGTCGAAGTTCTCTGTTTATACTCTTTCTATATAGTGAGCGCAAAAGATGCAGACATAAACTGCTACGTCTATGCCCAAATCTTTCATATATATATATATATATATATGGGTGTTTTGGCGGCAGGAATTCTATGCAAGATTCATTTAAGCCGTTGGCGTCGTCTCGAATTCAGTCTTTTGTATTTAGGCGGTTAACATTTGCAGGTGCACTTGCCCTTGTGCATTTTGTCATCTACGATGTACATATAATGGCCACCTGTCTAATTGCTACTCGCAGGCGTATATACATCCAAGAAACACGGTAAAAACATAATAGTTGGCTAAATTGTTTCCCGAGAAAAATCATATTCGTAATGGTTATCAAGCACAGCACGTGTGCTTACATGATGGAAGTTATCAAGCATATTATAGGAAAACGTGTATATTGTGCTGCCCTGTTATCATCATATGTAGGACTAATAAGGAGACAGGTTCGTACGTAATAAATGCGATTTTTTCTATTGAATTTTAAATATGTACTTGATCCTGTCAGTTTGCTTATTCTATTCAACTGTACTAACTACGTACGCGGTATTTATGTCATATAATCGTCGCCGTTATTCTTTCAACGGTTCGATCTTTGTCCATAGGTATCTCGTAGCTGCTTTGACTCGGTCATGAATAAATGTGGCAACTGCCGCTTCTGTTTGACAGAAGTGGAGGGTGTTGCCTGTTCTGTAACAGACAAACTCCTGTATTACGACGTTGGCACGAGGGAAGGGGCTTTAGGCGGCTGGAGGAAAGGGTAAACCGCAGCCCCTAGCCAAGTTCCTCACTTGCTAGCAAAATTCGCTTGTTAAGTTGACACTGGATCACTGTTTGTTTAAATGGGCGCGTGTGTACCACTTCAACTGTAGGTATACTTTCCTGTGTATAGCTATTGTATTAAGTGAAGTAATCTGGCGGGCGCCGACGTTGTAACTTTCGCCATTCGAGGATTTCGAAACTACAAAGCAGAAAATAAATGATAAAGATAAAATGAGAAATATTGAGCAATACAGGGAGCGATAGTGAGAAAAAACGAGAGATGCGGGTGGGTACCCGCATCGTAAAATCAGACTTTAAGCCGGCAGATGAGTGAAAGCCGATATTTATTCTTTGTCATTACCATTGCGTCAATCGGCCGTCGAAGACGTAGCTATGATGGCAGATGCGGTTAGTGTGGTACTAAGCAGCTTTAGTAAAACAGCTCACCTAACCGTCATCAAGGTGAAAGAGGCGAATTTATGTACTACGGCAAATTTAGATACGTACAAACAGTAGCTAACCCAAGTATACCTACCCATGGACACACATCTACGTTAACCTGAATGCTGTTTATTTAGCGGAGAGTTTCGTTTGGTAAGCCAAGCAAAGATAACCAACGGGGGCTCAAAGGTATAGCGTTCATTTTTTGAAGCTGGTTTCGATTTACTTTTATCTCGTTCACGCTTTACGGTTCAGTCTTCCCATAAAGTTCGGGCAAATGTTGTCTTCGCCATTCTTGTTTAGTGTATCACCGATGACGCTAGACGTCGTTGACCAGGATCCAGCTAACATGCCGTCAATGAATAGTATTTCTATTGCCACTGCTCCTAAGACAGTATTACTATTATCTTATCGCCGCTAGCCTTTTAGGCCGTATTTTCCTAATATAGCGATGGCTTTGCTTCTCACTGTCGATTCATCTAGGCCCCGATTCTTCCGCTTTCATCCTTAAGAAAGAGACACAAGAGGGACAGCGTAAGAGTCGAGATAGCGTTTTGTGTTCGAACTGCATTTAACGTAGCCAGCCAGTTTTGGCGAACTTACAACGATCAAAGGGTTGGTTTCGTAGTCATGACAATTCAGTTACGACCACAACAACGGCGTCAGGGATTCTACACCACGAACCATACGTACGGCCGCTGCCGCAAAATCCCTGCACAACAGCCGAACTCACAATACCCGTCGCGTAAAAACAAAAATGGCGAAACTGCGTAGAAGAATTACATTAGGCTCGCGGAAATTTGTGGACGCGACATGAAAGAAAAAACGAGATCGAGAACACCTAGATGGATAGAGAGAGTGTATATAGACATATATACTCTGTCTCCTATATATATATATATATATATATAAAGAGAAAAATAGTTGTGGTAGGTTTCGTCGTTTGATTTCGGACGTGTCCCGCATGCTGCTCTCCCTTCGTCCAGTAGAAGTGAAAACAACACCAGTTGCTCCTGAAGCTGCTGCTGAAGTCTTCGCAACGGCTGAAGACCCGAAGCAGTTGATTGTGACACGGCTGCTAGGTCTGTTGACGCTCAAGCCGCTGGCCGGTGGCCGACCCCATTCGATTGAAAGACCAAAAAAAGAAGAACGGCAATCACAAATCCAACCAGAACCGAATCGGGTAGTGGTGGGCTTTGTTGGTTCCTACCTTTACTCACTGGTCGATTACTATACCGTTTACAGCGGGTCATAGAGGCCCATTGTAGCGACAGTTGTGAGCAGCAGTCAGTATGAAAGCTCTAGCGTGAGGCAGTACGATGCCGAAAGCTAAAGTACAACCTTGCAGTTCTTCAGCATCGAAAGTGATGGGCGCTAGCAGCAGCAGCAGCAAAAACAACTACTGCAATTCTTGTTGCGATAGACTGATACAAGAATTGCCACTCGCTTTTACCCCTGCCGGTAAAAGTTCTGTGTGAAGTTAACGGTGGTAGCGACGACGGCCCCAGCTTCGGCAGCGGAAAGACTTCTAAATGAACTGATGCCCCGCAGGTCTCAGCGTCAAAAACGGATAACGGCGTGTTTATGAAAAGAAAGAAAGTAAATAACTGAAAAATATTGTAACAGGACAAAATAAAAGGAAACATATAGGCCAAAAAAAAGAAGCCAATAATAACTATCAATGCAAAAAATAACAGTGCTGAAAAGTGACAGGGCATAGTCTTACCCGAGATTTTCGACGGATGTGCTTCATAGATCGGAAATAAGCAAGAGAGCAGGACAGGCGGCAGTCTGAGTCAGTTGCTCTACGGGGGTTGACAATAACAATGACTCTCAAGCCAGAACGTCTGCCGTACAAGCCACTAAGAGCATATGTGCTTCGGTGTAACTAGAAGTGTCATAGCCGTGTCGGTTTTTGTAATTTCAAAATTAAGTTAATCAAATCTATAGTTAAATTATGCAACATGAACAGACGGGAATTATTCAGTTAAGCTTATTAATGCTCGAGAATATTGTCAGTTGCTTACATACGTAATCGCGGCCGATCGAAGCAATTCCTTTTTATTTTTCTATAATATAAAATTATATTACGTAGATGGCTCATCACCCGTGTTTGTTTTATATAGAATAATGCTATAGATGCAAAGCTACAAATAAATAGCGTATGCTGATTTAGACTTTCCAGTACGGAAAGGTACCAAATACGCAAGATAAAAAGGTCGAAAAAAAAAACACTTGACTACTATTTATTGATCGGGCGCTAAGGATGATAATCATTACAGAAATTCGGAGCAGAGGATCTATGTTTAAAGTCTAAAAACATTGACCAAATACCTATTCGTACACACTTATCTATTGGTAGCATAACACATTGCTATCGTACTATATTTAGCAACGTCGATAGCGTTTCCTGGAAAGTCGTTTGTAAAACGTTGCCGAGTGTCATGCCTATTATGCCCATCAACGTCGATACAAGAAGCCCTTGGCGAATCGCGGTGGAAAGGTGTTTGCCAATACCGTATTCGGCCAAGGCACAACTCACTATCGAGCAATATGGCCTAAACTAATTAATTATTACTACGCTTAACTTGCAAGGCTGCAAGTTCGTCCTCCAAGAATGCGCAGAACACAGGCGGCGTAGTCGTGCTTTGTCTACTCATTAGGTTCAATGCTGACAACGTTTATTTTTGTATATTCGTAGATAACACATATTGCCTGGCACTACGCGCTGGCTAATGACTGATGAAGATCGGGTACGCATTACCAACCAGCCATTATTGTACCATACCGTCATTCACTTACTTAAATCTTCATCTCATGTTATCGTTGCCATATGGTTCTTAATACGATTTTCACTTGGAGCCTATTATGCTAATTAAATTACGCCATTGACCTGAACCCACTCGTGTTCTTCAAAAAATATCTTTGCTTATAGGATAATTCAGTTAAGCCTTAGAATAAGGTTCACTTGTTGACGGGGTCCAGACTATATTTTCTTCACGCTTTTACTAGACGCACAATAGAAAAATAATCCGACGCTGTACCGCCAGTAGCAGCTATAATAAGATCTCATTTTAGCCAAGTTTCAATCCCCAACAGCTTTTTCGTGAGCGTCAAGGTGGCGAGGACGTTTCTTCTCGTCTTGTCGTCGGATTTGCGCACATCTTTTTTTCTTAATCACACTGACTATCTTTGCGGTGACCGTAGTCGCAGTGGACGACCACTAGTGACTAGCGGCAGCTAGACATATGACCAAAAACAAAGACGATCAGATGACTTTTGCTAACATTCCTAACGTGCTCCAAACGATTTCTTTCCTAATTTCAGAGCTTCCCTGCCGCCCGTGCACCGTTCAGCATCGGCACCACGTAAACCTTTACCTAATAGTTTACAAAGTGTCGCTAAACATTTAATCCGTTGTCATCGTCGACTTGGCAAGTTTATATCAGCGAGAGCTGCCTTTATTCATCGCTATCTACTCTAGCGTCTGTATCGCTAGCGTGACGACGCCTGGCTCTAAGCGTGACTCGCGGTATAACACCAACACCATTAACACACTCATTCGTGGGACCAAATAATTCGATTTTCCCGGGGTAAAGAACTCGGAACTCCGTTTCGATATAACGCGGCGTCCCTGCGAACAGTGGACGATCACTGTCGATTACCGTGAACGTGATTTGTGTTTACGTTTGTGTGAGGTTAGTTAGTGCTGTTGTTATCGTAGTCGGATATTTTGTCGGCAACGCACAGTAAACACGTCTCAGTTGACGCGCGTTACTTGCTGAGCCATTAATAACAAAAACACAGAAAATGTGGGCACAAAGTGATCGCTACTCGAACAATTCACCGCTTTATCGCACAGACAGCGATGAGCTACGCGTCGAAATGAAGAACTCACGTGCCATCGCCGTCTTGTGGGGCGTATTCAGCATTTGTTTCTGCATTATAGACTGCGTTGTCTTCTTCCAGCCCCATTGGCTAGGCGACACCAAGGATTCGCCTGGTAAGTACAAGATCTAACGAGTTAATTGAATACACACTAAACTCAGCACCGAATACCTCATCTAAAGCTCGTACTACTTCGACTCGCATCCAATTAATCTTCATATGGTCACATAAATGATAAAACCCAATTTCTTTCATAGGTTATTTTTAGCTTTCATTATTAGGGTTCCATGCCTGTCTAGTGACGTACGACTATTGTGCTAATTTTGCTGTGTACTTCGATTCAAGTTGTGATAATATTATGTAAATAACTTATAGAAAAAAAAAACCGTGTCTGTTAGCATGTATTGGCAGCAGAATCAAAAACAACCTTGCCTTAACTTGCTTACTTTCTTTTACACTTAGTTCGTAATCACTGTAGTAACTTCCGTTATGTTGGTCATCTAAGCAAGCCAATGACAAGTCGTACCAAGCCCTGGCCGGAAAAAAGTAGACCTTAGCATCTTTGGTAGATAACTTGCGCTGTTCAGAGTAAAAAGATCGAACTTTCGATTTAGGAGATAGTCTATTCGGAGCAAATTTGAGAAGAACGTGTTGCGTTAATCTAATCCGCGATCGGTGAATGGAGGATCAAAATTTGTACCTGGCTTCTACTATACCAAGTCAGTTAATTCCCACAATGGGGCAAATAAAACTTCTTCATCGATGTTTGCTAACTCGAGCTATTACGAAACTCCACCGTCTTTATTCACACAAATTGTGAGGTATCTGAACGATTAATATAGATCTTCGCGGTTTGTCTTCACGTGAGCAAATTTTTCCTTATTTTCCCACGTTCTTAGCCGCTATATATATTTGGCATCACGGAGCATGGCTTAGATGCAGTATTGCTGCTCCTCGTGTACAAGGAGCTGTTTCGGTAAGACCTGCTGGCCTTGCTATCGTTGATCTTTTTCCGACATCCAATACGAAATTCCAAAGCTTTGTCAATGCTGAGAGGCAACTGTTTCGTAGAAATCACATGAAGCCAAAAAGTTGCCGCCTATAGACGTAAGAAAGTCTTAAAAGCATACATATAGAAAACAATCATACTGCTAATTAACTGCCCGTTCCCTCAATGTATGTTCGTATCGAATTTGCCCCGAAGTTCCCACGTTCGCCACATGGCTGTGCATGCAATCGACTGCACTAGTAGTTTGTGTGCTGTATCAATGCAGATAGCCAATGATTATGCACTATACTTTTTATCTACTCTTGTCTTAGTGTATTTTATGCAGTTGTTGCTCGTTCAGGAACAATAAGATAAGGAAATCATATTTAGTAACAGATGTTTTTGTTCGAAACGAGTAATTTAAGGACAAAATGTTTTTCTACGAGCTATTTCTAGGATTAAGTGTGAACAAAGACAGGTAATACAACGAAATACTTCACATGTGCTTAAAGTGCCGTCCCTAGCGATTGTGCTTATTTAAGAATCAAGACATCAACTCAGCAGTCAATCTGCGAATATCTTTTAATGATTAGCGGTACTTCAAGCGATATTAGTAGGTGTGGATTCGCTAAGGTGTGACTCAAATATCTAGCTCAAAGTCTAACTTCGGATATCAAGCTGAGAATTCAAAAAGAGACACAAGGTGCAATTCCGGAATCGTTTAGATCGCTGACCTCCGCTCAGATTGCATGCCCCATAACAAATCTGCTGTTTCATTTCTAGAAAGAACTAGCTCTATTTTGGCACTAGAAGTAAACGGATGAGCGCACGACCGCTATGAAAGACAGCCCGCCAACGTTCGCCCGAATGCTCGTTCTTAAACGCTTTCCATTCTGCGATAGGCGTCACTGTCACCTTAAACACTACACCAAATGGTTGGTGTCTACTTGCGCATTCGTTTCCCCCATTTTACATGCCCATTCGAAGTAAGAGGGAACGAAATGTTCATTTTGTAAAGCTTCATTAGTACAGCACGGGATGGTAAGCTTCGGTATCGCAACTTTATCTCAGTACAATGGAAGAAAGAAGGCTTATGTGCCAAATTCCTAGAAGACTCCTGACAGTTTTCTTTATGAGGAACGCTACTTTAGTCTCCGAAAATCATACGGGCATTGCTTCTCATTTTAATGGCTATAAGCAGGGGATCACGCGCGTAGAAGCATCAAAATCATTAATAAGAGGACGCAAGAAGCTGCAAGCTAAAGCTACTTCTTGAAGGATTCTTAGAATGTTCATCTGGAGAGAAAGGGGTTATTTATTAGGAGTTTTTAATATTTTCAGTTTTAGTTCGTGAAGAAGAGAACCCTAACATTGACCTTTGCAGCTTGACGGTGCGTTTTGAAAACAAAGTATGCTTACCTCAATAGCAGCACAACCGCAGCACCCCTGGTATAAAACGCATAAAGTCCTATTTTCATTTCAGTTTCCTTTAACGCACGTAAAGAGGCTCATAACGTACAGATGCAGTTGCACATAATAAACAATCAGCTGTCCGCATCTCTAGCATCTTTGTTGACGCTGTGGACATTTTTTACGCTCGACGCACAACAAAACGTCGACTTTATAGCAGGTGAAGCGAGTTAAAAAAAACTTAGATCTTTTTTTTAATTCTAATGTAAATTCAAGTATAACTTAATAAGTAATATATCGTTATTTAACTGCTATGACTTAATTTCGTATTAAAAAATTAATTGTGTCTCTTAAACGTTATTATATTCCTATCGTTTTAGGTCGAAAACAAACGCAATCGAATGCTTTCATTGAAAAAATCAATGAGATAGACAGAGTTTGTATTTAATCAAGTAAACTGTGGCAGTCTTTCATCGATGCTGATGCGCAGGGTAATATCTATTTGACAAACTGTACACGAAAAACTTGTTTTTGAACGTAATTAATTATACGTCTCAGCGATATCGGCGTCACTTAAAGTTGCGAAAACTTATATCACAGAATATAGGACACAGTATAGCAGAGTACATATCGGTGCTATTATATGGTTCGAGGTCGATTTTTTTTATTTATTTATTTAAAATATTAACGCAAACAAAAAACGATTTTGTATGAAATCAAAAGAAGGAAAAAAGAGAAAAAAAAAAGTGCTATCGACACACGAGGCCAGATCAATAGCCGACCGCAGACACATGAACAGATCTGCTCGATTATTATTTTATTATTATTATTATCATTATTTTTATTTGCTCGTGTTTATTTTTCGCTCTGCATTCAATTTCTATTTGCTACGAAAATGGATGTGCTAGTGATGCGTTTCGCGCAAGTCTCCATCTCCAGCCTCCAATATAGTTTGTTTATTTGTATCTATCAGATCCCTTCACGAGATCGATCGATCGATGGAAGGGGTTATGGATTTTTGACGACTATAACTTTAGACTGACTGTGTCATGAACGAGACATTGAACGCCCCGTTACTATTTTCTTCTTTTGAGGAAAACAGGGGTGTGGTTACATGCTGCAGGGGCATTTGCTCAAATGCCGATCCTTCTATCCCTTTTATACAAACAGATGTTTCTGTCCTGTAGACACCGACGCCGTGTCCTGTTTCCTTGAAGTGACTGAAGTCTACATTGCCGCGCACAGCAAAAACATGAGCTCAAAGATGTTGCTCTCTTGATTCGAAGCATTACGCGTCAGGATTGCCTAGGATATTTTTTCATGGATATGACGGTCTGTTTGTCTAGTTGCTTACCCGATACCGATTAGGCTGCATCTCTGGCTGCATCGCAGCTAAGCTTGAAGCTATCGGTGCGTTGTTGTTCGTAGTTGGCCAGAGGGATTAACTCAGCCGAACTCCCATCGAGAAACAGTTCGTTCCTGAGAGAAGACGCGTTTACGTTCATTGCGTCATAGCACTAGACGTGCAGGTAAGTAAACACTATGAGCATTGCTCACTTACGCTGAATCACAGATAGGCCAATCCTGTAAATGAGTAGCAGTAGCAGCTGTTGATCGTTGTTGAGGTTGCCGCTAGCGCTTTTGTTGTTGCTATCGTTGTTGTCTTCTGCTCATTCGTTGGCTATTTGCGAATATATGCGCACACGTTTTGTTACAGATAGGCCCGAATGGGGGCGAACATTTCTTGGACGTAGATAACGATAACGTAGGCCTAGCGGGACAAACGTTTGCCAATCCACTGCTTTTGTCTTCGTGTGTAGTAGTGCATAGTCATATAGTTGTATCAGTACCGCTGTTGGTGGCTCCAATGCCTTGGGGCGCCATTTACTGGGGGACTGTTGCAGTCCTAGTTTCTAGTTTTTTTTTAACGATTTTTCTTGGGTTCAGTGTCGCAATCGCTGTAAGGGAAACAAGAAGTGAAATTTTGTTGCAGCAGCACCTTACGAAGTGAATATATTTTACGTGTTATATTATACTTGGGCGCTTGGCACGTTGGTTTGAGTTACTACGGATTAGACGTAAGACAAAGATAGATATTCTTTTCCGCAGCATTCTGGTAGCACTCGTTAAAGATCGTGAAACAGTAGGAGACCCGTAGTCCCCTGAAACGTCCCTGTGCCCAGTGTCCCCTTTAGCGACGAGTGTAAGCCATATTAAGAAGTAGATTTATCAGTCAAGAAGATGCATTGAATCCAATGAAACCCAGCTTTTGCCTAGGCATATTGTAATCGTTAGATGTGTGCGCGGTGGTACGTGTGATATAAGGCATTTCGAGTCCTGGCTTTTCTCAAAAAACAGCAGGACAACAGATACAGACTCATTATATGCTTAAACTAATTGTAGTGAAAACCAAATTTTAAAGAAAAGGGTATTAATACTATAAGTATATTATTATACGAAGCAGCTGCTCTTCAACATTGTAGCTTAACTTTTACTCAAGTTCGAATAGCGCGATATAGGTCCGATTTAGAAACTGGTCAAATCTGCCAGATTAGTCAATTAGTAAAAAAGAACCGATTTCGTGAGATTTTTTTTATGTAAATTGTGGAAGCTGCAGGAAAACCTCTTTTTCCTCTTGTCATAGGATTATTCCAATTATTTGATTCTTCTAGCTGGCTAAAGAAGGACATAGATCTTTCACTCAAATTCAGTATCTT